AGGTCGTCTTTAAAAATAAGGGGTTGTGCTTCTAGCTATTGATTAATCATTTGCTTTTATTTTAAAAGAGATCATTCCATCTTGCAAATCCAATTTCTCACTAACTAGACTGTGAAGCATTAGCATTTAAATAGGACATGTGGCTATCTTTTACAAAACCGTGGCAGCAGAACACAAACCCAAATCCAAAACCATGGCAAATTCCCAGCATTTACTGTAAGGCCACGCAGTGGAGTTATTTTGTCAAAGGCTAATTGAATGAAATATGATTACGATTTAGGTCCTCTCCTTTTGCTCTCACCTGCAGTTTAAACAAATGATCCCTTATAGTAGATGTTTTAATGACATCCTTGGCTATGACCTGCTGTGTTAGAGAAAGTGATCTCCCCTCACTGTGGGGCTCATGTTTTGCTATTTGAAAAGCCATTGATAGGGAAAACATCCTTTTCCTTAAGTGAAATTAACCTGGAGGAATCAGCTTTAGATAAAGGCCCCAGTGTTCAGCACAAACATGACTATGTACAAGTGGAATCGTCAGCCTGCAATAGTAAATACCACTGGGAAAAATTATGTCTGATAAGATTATCATGTGAAAGATTAAATAACTGCAAAGTGATGGGCTGTACACACATATCCAGTCTAAATCTGTTTATCCTTTGCCTATTTTCTTTGCTCATGCTTTATGAATCAATGAATTTGTCCAGCACACACTTTTTGCTTTGTGATTCTGTGATATGTATCTGTCGTCATCTGTCTTAAACACACCTCACATAGTACACCCACAAAACACATACCGTATGTGCGCACACACACACACACACACACACACACACACACACACACACACACACACACACACACACACACACACACCAGTCTCCGTTTCTTACACACACTACATTATGCATAATGACTACTGCAGTATCCTCTTGTTCTCTCACTCAGGCATTGGTTACGAATGGAAACAAAGACTAAAATGCATAAATACGTGGGATGATGACAGAAAAGAGCAAAGCAAAATAGCATTTATGCCTCACTCTGTCTTTCAAGGTGCTGATTGAGTCGAGAAGTAACTGTGAAACTAATGGCCTCTGGAAAAAATCTAAATGACACCAAAGTCAGATTTAAGAATAGCTGGCCTGTCCATTGCTCTTTAAATGAATGCAGTAAACAGCTCAGCATCTAAATGTCAAGCACAAGGGTTTGGGGCAAACTTTCACCACTTTAATGACAGCTACCCCTCCTATAGAGGTCATCGAGATATGTGCGCTGGAAGGCAAAAGGACTAGTGGTTTCGCAAGGGCACAAATCATAAAGCGTTAAGAATGTGCCAGAGATTGTGCTGACGAGCAGAATCTCCTTCACGGACTGTAAAGGACAGCGGGCGATGCGTTTATGCAGACCCTGGGTCAGAGGATTAAAAAGAAGAAGATTGCCTCACAGAAACCCCTGTGGTCCACCATGAGGAGAGCAATCAGCTTGCTGCAATGGCATTTCCCCTGGAATTCCAATACAGAAGACAAGAGAGATAGGGGCTAAGGGGTGAGTGTGTGTTGGGTGGAAGAAGGACAGAAGTAGTTACATCGATTCATGCATTCGTTCCTGCATTGTTTAAATCGCAGTATTGCTGAAAATACGACAGCTCCTACTGCCTTAGTCTTGTTGTGCTCCATTCTTTTTCTTTTTGCCATTTTTGTTCATGTTTCCAGACATACTATTATGATTTTTCTCACCGGAGCTGCCTGCCTCTCCACATTTTGATTACATGAATGTTGTGCAGTCAAAGACTATAAATGGTTACACATCCTAAAAGTGTATGAGAGACAACAACATGCCAGGATTTTAAAAATGCATAAAGATACGTGATTACAAACTACGGACTATGGGTAAAATCATGTCAAAGGAAGATCTCCAGTCGGATTAACTGTACAGCCATACTTGCTTATTATAATAAGGAGATTATAAGAACAGTCTGCCTTGTTGAAACAGGTGTATGACCTTCCCTGGAGAAGCTCTGAGTCAGGTGAGAGGAAAACACTGAGGTAATTAGAGGCACAGCATACAGAATGGTAATGAGGCCTTTTCCCCCGTTGCTGGGTATGACAGTCAGAACCCCTCCAGTTCTTCTTATTCAAGTCTCCTGTGGGTCAGCCAGTGGAGGGAGGGCGTTCGGCCGCCATTGATTCCCCCTCTCCAATGCACCGGTTTTGAAGATCAATGCAACATGAAGGTATTTGTGTCCTCATTAAAGCTGTTTGCTCAGCGGATCGATGCAGACTGAACCCCCAGCTTGGTTTGGCTGACAATACGCAGGCCAAGAGAGATATCAGGCCAGTTATGGCCGAGTTTAAAGTACTTAAATCCTTTACAGTGCTAATAGCACAGCATAAAAATACTCCACTATGAGTAAATGTCCTTCATTCAAAACTTAACAAAGTATTTTCAGAAACATTTACTGTATAAAAAATAATTAAAAGTCTACAGATCCTGATGCTTGGTTCCCCTAAGGTTGGTAACATGTTTTATAGCCTTCAAAGAACATTTTTGTTTGGTTAATTACTTCAACAAATATTCCCAGACGGTTTCTTCATAGCGTTACCTCGTGGTTACACAATATTGTTTATTAATGGGAGCGCTCATTAACGACTCCTGCATGCTGATTTTCAAACACACCTCTGTAGAACATCTAGAACGTTCCTTGAAGGTGCTTGTAACTATCCAATGTAAGGTTGACACAATACCAGGATTTTCTAACTTCAATACAATACTAGCACAAAAAAACAGCAAAACCAAAAAAGTCCTACTCACATAAAATAGTTTTTATTTTTAATGAACAACCTGCTCAGTGCTGGTGCAGAAAAAGTATCTAAAGACAGAGGGAGGATCAGAAGATTTTCTATCTGTTTCATCTCTGCAGCCTTGGGTTGAAAATCTCAACGCAATGTTCTGGTAATTTTGTGAGAAAATTGTAGGAACCACATCTTTTATCACACAAGAAAGTTGTAGATGTGATAAAGAAACTTCCATGGAGAAAATTGCTTGCAGAAAATTGCAACAAAATGTCTGCTCTTTTTTTTTTCTTCAAAATATCCAATTTTGACTCTGAGCAGATGTTCTTAGATAATCTACACCTCTGACTATGCAATTTTTGGCAGACATATACGACATGCTACAGCTCCATTCACAGGGGCAGGATCTCATCTCCAGCACAGGGAATAGTTTTCATCATACTGACTGAGCTCCTTATGGTGCTTTTTTAGGCTAGTCAAAGTTCAGTAAAGACAATATAAAACTATGGGTGGCATATACAGTAAGACAGTTTAGGCACAGGCTAAAGCCCACTCAAACAATATGCTGACATCTCCTTCTGCCTTTTCCCTAAAGCATTTTTCTGTAACATTATCTCAGTCTTTCACCCTTTGACCCCACACATCTATGTCTCCAAGGATACTATCATTTCTAACTGTTCTGTAAACTGTCTTTGACCTAATCTACGTCACCTCTCCCCCTCTGGGTTTTCTCATACCTGCCGGAGTGTGAACACAAACGCACACACGCACACAAGTAGAGGCCACATCGTCATCACTCATCCAGAGCTCCTATATATATATATATATATATATATATATATACATATATATTCATATACGGCACTCAGTTCCAAACTCTGGTACTCGGTGGGACCTTCGCCAGAAGCTCTTTGGTCACTCTAGCTACAGCTAACTTAGCTGGTGGGAACAGGTCTGAAGTGGGCTTTAGAGGAGTTTTGCAGAAATGGTTGACTCCTCAATTACTGTTAGCTAATAATGTATTTGGGATGTTATGTGGAATGATTTCAAAAGTTTTATGAAGGTTTTGATATTGTTTGCTGTTACATAACTACCACTTTTGCAATCTGTTCTCAACGCGTGCTTCATTGACCACAGAAAATTAAAAGTTTTGGCTAACTTTTCAGTTCTGCAGCAATAATCAAGTACATTCAACCTGATAAAAAAAAAAAAAGATATGAATAAATGCTGTACCCCATTGATTTTTATTTGATTAAAAATCACTCAGGATAAAACACAATAAAATCTGGGGGCTTGCAATAATAATAATAATTATGCAACAAGCAATAACACCAGAGAAACACATACTGTAGGTTTTATAAAACTATTAATCCTCATTTGTGGCATAATGAAACCTCACCAGCCCTTAAGTGTTATGCAAGGAGGCTTAATCATCTGAATACATATGTCATTGTTCGAGGTCACCGAATGAACTCTCCCTGAACCGGCGCAGTTGATGGGACTTGCCTTGTAACTCATCGAAACATTAGCACCTGTCATGCCATGTCACGATCTGCATGCAGTAATCGTATGCAGCATATGCACGTCAGTGGATTATCTGAACCACGGGGAAAACTACACAGTTAGAGTCAGTCAGAGACAGTTTTCAGCTCTGAGTACTAACAGGATCTTAAAATGCTAAAGTTAGCAGTTAACAGAGGCAGAGAACCCACACACCTCACTATCTTCGCAGTAGTCTTTAGGGAAGTGAGCTACATCCTTCCCAGGGTGCAGGCTAATAGTGAACATCTTCTCCAGCCACTCAGCGCCTGTATCATTTCAAAAACTGGACTTCACAGCAAAGGAAACCTTCACAGCTGCTCTTCTCCCCTCAGGGTTTTAAATGGGTGCACTCAGTGATTTGCTGCTGCAACAATGCTCCAGATAGAGCCGACTCAGAACTAAAAATTACCCACTGTGTACCAGGAGTGTCAGACATTGTAAAAGTCACCTTTCACACATTTATCTCACATCTACGTAGCTTGCGTTAACACTGCAGATGGGTCTGCCTCTTGCACAGTAACACAAATCTTGAGTGCAAAACATGATGATTACTCTTGCTGAGGGAGGGAAAGAGCTTCAGTAGTTTCCCCAGTGTGCATTTCAAAGTGAGACAACTGCAACAGCTTCATGTCATGTTGTGTACGCGACACCCAAGACCACAGCACTCACCATCCTTGCGGTGGTAGGTGATCTCCACCTTGCGCTCCTCCGAGCCCAGCAGCGCCTGGGCCACCTGGGCCACCGCGTGCCGGTTGGTGAACTCGCCGTGCAGGAAGTCACAAGTGCACGGCTTCTGCATGACGTCCGGCCTGGAGAAGCCCGTCATCTCGCAGAAGCCATCATTACAGTAGATAATAGCACAGTTCTGCACCCGGGCATTGGCTATGATGAATTTCTTGTCTGTGGAGGGATAAATTGGAGGAGGAAGAATTTGTTTACGGGCGGGAATATCACCTAAACAAAACCAACTGACTGTAGTGAATGACTTACTAAACATGTACATATATCAGTTATTACATTAAAACAACAAATACATGAACAGGAATGTGAAAGAATATGGAAAAACATTTCACAAAAATATAAACGTAGGTGGATGTAATTGGTTTACATGGGATTATCCTCCATTACATTCTTTAATATAGGTGCTCGACTGTTCCAGTGGATAAAGAATGAAGAAGCAGGCTGGATTGCTTTTTATTTTTTATTGCACTTTCTATGATTGGGGTAGCCTTCAATTTCACATTTTACATAAGAATCTGAGTAAAAGCCAGTTTTTCCTCCACATATTCAGCTGTAAAACCACATTTATGGCCCAAGTGATGCTTTATTCAATAGGCCTCCAGCGTGGTGTGCAGCAACACAGCACTGCAAATAATCCATGAAAACCAAACACGACTGGAGGATTTAATAAAGGCAATGAAGGTATTTTTGGGGGATATGATCTGAAAAGTAATGAAATCCGTTAATCCTTTATTTATTTTTTTTATCATATGCAGCTTTTTTAAACTATAATTTCCACTAGAGCAGCAGAGTACAGCACTACAGAACTATACAACAAACCAGGGTGCTTGATAAGAGAGCATGATATTTAACTTATAATGACTTTTTGTGGACCTCTGACATATAGTTTCTATTAAAAAAAAAATAGAATTAGTTTACTATATCTGCATCACAAGCCTTATTATTTAAGAAAGGCCTATTAGGTAAGATCCTAATGACTAAATACTTGTTCTCGAGATGCTGCAGGACAGACACAAAAGGCAGGCATTACAAACACAACACACAGCACTGGACAGCAGGGAGAGAGGTACTCACTTTGTCCCTCGAATTTGCGAATAATTACTCCCAAAAACGTGTTTTGTGGCGCAACATGACCCCTCCGGACAGGCATGGTTCCCCTCCAACAATAATGATGATAAAAAATCTTTGGCTGTCCAAGTAAGAGCAAGCCAGTCTCCCCCCTTCAAAAAAACGCCTTCCGTCAAGTTCTAGCGGGTGACAACCGAAGCCTTAGAGGGGCTCCTCTTTTTCTTTGTCACCAGTCAGTCATCCTCGTAAGAAAATCTCCCCCTCCTATGCTTTTTTTTTTTTTTTTGGATTTGTTCCCGACCCCCCAGTGTTTCCCTTATTTCAACTCCGACGCGTCCCCGGTTGAGCGCATCGCAGAGGCTTCCCTGCGCTCCTCGCCGATGTGAAGCTGGAAAGAAAGGAGTCGGTAAACCGCAGTTTAACCAACATTTCACCGTCGCTCCTCGAAAGCACTGTGCGCGTTTGTGTCGGCGCGTGAGAGAGAGGGGATGTGCGTGCGTTTGCGTGCGTGTGTGTGTGCGTGCGGGGGTCTATTGTTGTGAAAGGTAGACTGATGGTCTCTGAGGCCAATGGCTGAGAGGCTGACGGACCGGAGAGGCGCAACACCGACACTGCTAAAGGGGAAAACCCACATGGATGCGTAGACAACAAAGCGGCAGACGGAGATAGTAGAGGCAGGGCTGCCTGGTAACGGATTACTGTAACGCGTTACAACCCCCCCCCCCCCCTTCTTTTTGTTTCATGAGCGAGCTTGTAGTTTCTAGCTTATTTTATCCGACATATTAAGTCGAGTTATGAAACTATGACCTATTCCCTCGGTTCATTTCCGGCCTTATTCATGTCACACAGCGGGTTAAATTAAGTTAGCTTAGCTTTACCTGCTATAACCTGAAGACTTACTTTGATTTACGGACGCATTTAACGAAGAAAAAGCAACAAATCACGACGACAACTAATTAAACATGACTTTTTGACACTAATGAGTGATTAATGATGGCGCACCTGTGACTTTTTTTTTTCTTTTCTCCTTCGAGTCACGAGCCCGGTGTCGCCGCGAGGGGTGACGTCAGGGCAGCAGACGCAGGTGTGTCGCCTGTCTCATTAACGGAGAGCCCCCTTCGGCCACTATTTGGTTGGACAGGCCGTGTTTTTAAATGCCTGCTCTGGCCCCGAGTTTTCCGCCTCGCCTTCCACGCATTGTTTGCATGAAATGTGACAGAGCTCCACCGGCTGCTGCCGCACGAGCAGGCGCTGGCCATGGTGCTGGTGGTGGTTTTTTTACTTTTCCCTTCCACCAGTGGGATCAGCAGCACGACTTTAGGTATTTTCTAAGCGGTTTATACAGAGTGAGAGAGTCAGAGGGGAAGGGCACACTGCAGCTGGATCTAACGTTGTGGTCATTAAACCTCTGCATGTGTTTTGTGGAATATATTTAAATTGGGTTGTATACTAGTAGATACATGTTGATTCTTAAGTTGAGTGTTATCAACACCACCAGGAGTTTGCATCCTTCAACAAAATACTTGATTATTTAGATATTTTACTGATTCCTAGTGCCACTGTTTGTCAGAAGTTCACCAAAAAACACAAGTACTATAGTAAAACTACTCATCCAGATTCTACCCTTATGGAGTGCTACATTATTGTTTACTGTATATTATCTGATTATTAATTGTGATGCAGTGACATGTAAGCAGCATTTTAATCTTGCAGCAGGTCAATATTTTGGGGTAGTTTTTTCTATACAAATGCATCATATTTTATTTTCTGATCCTATGTTTTGTATCTAAAGTGACTATAGCTGTCAGATAAATGCATTAAAATAGATTTTTGAATCGCAGTGGAGTTGAAGTATAAAGTAGCATGACATGGAAACACTTAAGTTCATGCACTTCAAAACTGTACTCAGAATCTTTAGTTTGTGTAAAAACCGTGTTAAAACAGGCAGGACTGAAGATTTTAACGTTTTAATACTCAATTTATTCCTCTCATTCCACTTTCCTTTCAGATTCAATCCATTTCCCTCCCCTGTTGTCTCTTTCAGTGTCTCTCAGACACACACACACACGTCCAAACAAACACACCCAAGAGTATGGTGAAACATCTGTCCTGTTCTTACTCCAGCTCTCCCTCCATCTGGTCCATTGAGAAAACAGTTGAATATACACAGACAGCGAGGGGCTGGAGAGAAGGTGGCATATGCTGCTTTTTTTTTTTTTTTTTTTTACGACCTTTTGTTTTAACAATGACTACAGTGGATTCCAAGTGAAGGCGGCCTTTGTTTAACACATTTCTCCTTGTCATGCATTCAACAGCTTTCTTTGGATGTGTTATTTCTTTCTTCCCTGAGGCTTGTGGTCTATTGGCCGCTTCAGCATATTTATCAGCGCTGATCTGCACTTTGTTGCTCATATCCAGTTTCTAATCACATTTAACACTGTAATGATATTTAAATCCATAAAAACAAGTTAATCCACCACACAAATCTTTTTTTTCTCTCCCCCTCTCTTTCATTTCCCCTCTCTCTCTCTCTCTCTCTCTCTCTCTCTGTCTCTGTCACACAGCAAGCACGACTCACTGACTCACAGTGGTGAAATAGTAAAGGGTAGGCCTGCCCTTGAGTCATATTCGCATTAAAGGGAGTGACAACATTAATTAATTGTATTTTAGCTCATAATATGCTCACTGAATGGACAGCTGGTGGTGACGAACACCATCCTTACAGAGAGGAGAACATAATCCTTAAGAAATAAGGAGCACCTGCACACACACACATCCAAACCAGTGTCTTTATTATTGTGGTTCAGTGCAGTAGAAATGCAGCAATTCCTGTTGGGGATATTGCAGAAAGATTATGTATTTACACACATGTTATAAGGACCTCACCGATTTAGTATTGCAGTCTGAAAATTCTGAATAAGGTTAGGATATCTTGAATGCACAGGAATCTCCTCTCTTCCAGGGCAATGAAAACCTTCACTCAACACAATTTCAAAAGCCATCTAGAAGAGATATGTTTGCTCTAACACCTTGGTTTTAGGCTATTAATATTTCATTAGTTACAACACAGAGGCTTGAGGAAACTGGGGGGATGTTATCCCCTCAGGGGCCAGGCCAAAAGCCATAATGAAGCTAAAGAAAACTCCAACGTGCAGGTTAATTTCAGTACAATGGACAGCTCCCCGGGCTTAACCCTTCAGTTTGATAGCATTTTTTTCTTATTATTACATTTCTTAGCTCCTTTGGGCACTGTCAACAAAAAAGCTGACACACAATTTGTAGCCATGCTAGCGGCGTAAGATGTTCTGTTGGTCCACTGCTTTGATTCAGACTGAGATTTTGTACAGATATTTCATGGTCGGCAGGTGAATTCACTGACGTCGGTGATCTCATGACTTTCGCCACAATGAGGTTGACATTTGTCATTTTGAGTGAATTGTCTCAAAAACAATCGGATGGATTGACATTTGCTACATACGTTCATGTCATACATTCTACATACATATTCAATTGTAATCTTTTGTGAGTCTGACAGGTCACATGCCAGGAGCAGGTTTGAAAAGGTCTGGTTCTGCAAACCACAGTGCAGCTTGGGGATTTATGTTTGGTGGTGAGATGGCTTGAGTTATCATAACTCATAATGTTCTCTACTAAACCCTAGAGAAAATCCCTAAAATGTACTGGTAAGTGCACGTTTCAGTAATATTCTCTGAGAAGTGACAATAAAACTTCTTGTTTCCATGTGTTCCTTGAATCTCTCTTACCAGATGCTATTGGCAAGGTGGCTCCGTGGGTTTATGGGAACTGATAGCTATAAATAGATAAAACTGTATTTACTTTCCATTTATCCAGAACATCACTTATCTGTTTATACCCTTTATGAGACTGCATCCTACTGACCGGGTTTATGAGTCACAGGAAGAGAAGGAAATTAAGTTTTATCCCTAAGATGCTGTTAAAGGTGTAATGAATAATTAAGTGGAAATTAAACAATGCAAGAGGGATGTGGGTCTTAGTGGTAAAACGAAAGGGAATTCTGAAGTAAAGCTAGAGGGCTCGCGGATATTTCAGAAGAGATATTTGCTGTGGTTATGAGTTCAGCTGTGTTCCATTAAGTGCAACCAAGTGATCATTTCTATCAGACTGAAATGTTAAGACCCTCTGCCTCTTGGGAAATATTGTCTGTCCGGAGAGTCACTTCGTTCAACTATTTTGTGCTCAAATTAATCTATCCAGTGATTGAGTTGTGCAACTGTAATGTCGAAGACACTGAATGTGAGCAACAAACATATTGGTGATGCATTCACAGCACTGGTGCCAAACTAGTGCAGCTAACATGGTACCTCTACTAGATTATTTTCTCTCTACTGTGCAGTTTACTCCCACTTGGCATTTTGCTCCCAAAACTACTATCATTTCATTCAATACAAAGTTATTGACAGGGAACAAAAAGCTTTCCAAGCTAATGAGTTTACTAACCGTTAAGAAGCTGCACGGGCCAATCATTTAACAGTTTATTCAGTAGTTGTATTTGTTCCACTGACTTCTGTCTCCTAATGTCTGCAAATTATTCCTCTTAAGTGGAGTTTATGCTCCAATGGAGGAGGTAAATAAAAGGGGATGGCGCAGCACAGCTAATAGGCTACAATAGCTTCTCCATTTTAAACTCTCCTGCGCTCCATTCCCTCGAAGGTCAACGCCGGCAAGACAATCTTCTGTTGTTCGATGTGGAAAATTTGCATGTCAAAATGCATCAAGCTGAACTCGACAACTAATTTTTGCAGATTTACTTCGCCCCCTGCAAGCAGAGCTGTTTCTGTGAAAATGAATTAAATTTTTTAAAGCTTTTCTTAACTGAGCCTTAAGGAGCAAAGACTAGAAGGTTTGTCTCAAGCAAAGGTTTTGTTTTGTTTTGTTTTGTTTTTTTAGCAAGGATTGATGTTTTTCTCCGGGTTTTGGTAGGACATGCCTATTTGAAGAAGGATAGAGCCGAAACCGCTACTTTATAATTGGAGCTGAGTCAGCAGGTGAATGACTACAACTATGCCCTATGGGATCATCACCATCATTATGATGTATTGGAGGAAGGAAAAAAATGGTTATTACTGTAGAGTGTAACCTTGCCTTGGGCCCTGCTAATTACATAGACTAATACCAAACACTGCGAGCACCTGACAGGCTGTCACTCTTGTAGCAAAGAGGTCCAGATTCGGCATTGCATGTGGTAGAGTGATACAGTGATACAGAAGGTGTGAGAAGTGAGTAGGGAGACAGTCCTTCAACCTGGGTTCAAGCCCTCTTGACAGCAAACTTCCATCCCTGCTGAACTATCCTAGAGCAATAGCAGACGACTGAATTCCCACCTGCTCCTGAGAGGTTCAGTGAAATGAGAACTTTCCCCTTCAATCAATAGAATATCACAGTTTCCTCCTCCTGTGTCAGCTCTAAATCATTTAAAATTGGCTTTTGTCATGCAGAATTTAGGGACGCCGCCTGCTGTCAGATAGCCTCCATCCACTGTTGCAGGATTTAAAGGTTAAGACCTACGAGGGGGGTTATTCTCCAGTTTTTGTGAGTGTAAGAAACATGGTTAATTACATGGGCTGCCAACAAACCAGCAATGATTTCCCCCGGTGGTTGTTAAGGATCTCTATTACTATGAGGCATTTTCTCTGACCTTATCCCAGAGAGGCTCAGTGTACTGTAGCCTGTGCAGCAGTCATTAAATAAACCCAGCCGGCCTAATCCACTCAACATCAGCTCATTCATGACTACAGAGAGGAACGAATAGTAGGTGTGAGTGTATGGGTATTTGAATGTATCTGGAGCATCTGGATATCTTTCGCCTGCTTATCATTGCCCAACAGAAAGTCTTTTAGAGAGGCAGTTGTGTAGGTTTCAGTAGATTAGAGCCAACACACAGAAGCCACCTATTATTATCCTTACAGAATGAGTTTTTTCTTAATGCATGAATAATCCATATTTGTGATAGCATGAAAAAAGTGTAGGGTGGAATAAGGTGAAGGTAAGGAATATGAGGAAATATGATGTAGCTATACACATAATTGTTTTTTTTAGGCTTTGTATTACTAATGGAAAGGCAAAGTGCAGAAAATATGGTGCCCAACATACGTTTTATGACCAAAATATATTGCTTCCTGAGGCTTCACAGCGAATGAGAGGCAAGAAGATGAAGAAAGGTTTATAAAATATTTAATTCATATTGAATTCATATTGAATAAATATTGAAAATATTCTGAATTAT